CTGCAGAGGGTGCTGGAGCTGCTGGAGATACTGGAGCTGCTGGAGGTGCTGGCGGTGCTGGAGCTGCTGAGGGTACTGGGGCTGCTGGAGGTGCTGGACCTGCTGAGGTTCCTGGAGCTACTGGCGGTGCTGGAGCTGCTGAGGGTACTGGAGCTGCTGGAGGTGCTGGAGCTGCTGGAGCTGCTGGAGCTGCTAGTGCTGGTGGCACTGCTCAGCCGCGCGTGTTCTTCGCTCCGCCGTCTCCGTCGTCTCAGCCACCACCTGACTCTGCACTTCGCCAGGCTCTCTGTCTTCCCTCGTCTACTGGCCTTCCGTTACAGCCTGGCTCACCGCTGCCTGCTCCTTCTCCGTACACAGAGCAGACTGGGGGCCTTGCTGAGCGTCGTGAGCCTGCGTCGCGTCCTGTCTCACCTGCCCGTTCTGGTCGTTCCGGTCGTCGTGTTCCTCGTCAGCGGCAGCCGGCTGTCTCCGGCACTCACCTTGTAGTTCGTCGTCCTTCCTCTCCTCCGCCGTGTGTTCCTCTGCCGTCTCCCCCTGCGTCCTCTCTGCCTGTCGTTACTGACCCTGCGTTTGACCAGTTTCGTGCTGAGCACTCTTCTGTCACGCGTCTTCTTGCCACTGTTGTCACTGACCCGTCGTTTGAGTCTGCTGCTTCGTCTGCCTTAGTCGCTGAGCTTGTTGACTTTGCTGCTGCCTGTTGTCTCGACTACGCCGCCAGTTTTGTTGCTGAGTCTGAGTCTGTCTGTCCTCCGTCCATCGGGGGTGAGTGTGCTCTTGGCACGGACGTCCTTGAGGACAGGCAGGAGGACCTTGAGTGTCTTTCAACCGCTGCGCCTCATCTCGTGGCCATGCTGCTTGACCCTGAGGGAGACCCGGATGCACCAGACATCCCTACCCCGCGCTCTTACACTGAGGAAATCGCGGATGAAACCTCCTCTCAGTGGCAGACAGCCATGGACGCAGGGATGGCATCCTGGAAGTCCACAGGCACCTACGTCGACGAGGTTCCCCCTCCTGGGGCGAACATTGTCAGTGGCATGTGGATTTTCAGGGTGAAGCGGCCGCCAAGTTGACTTCTTCCAGCGAGAGGGAGTTGACTTCTTCCACCCCGAAGATGACCACTCTTCGGGTGCTGCTACATGTTGCCGCTCAGCGTGACTACGAGCTTCACTCTCTTGACTTCAGCATAGCCTTCTTACAGGGCAGCCTGCACGAGGAGATATGGCTGCGCCGCCCTCCTGGATTCACTGGGTCGTTCCCTCCTGGTACCCAGTGGAGCCTCCGGCGGCCGGTCTACGGTCTCCGCCAGGCGCCACGTGAGTGGCACGACACACTGAGGACGACACTTGCGGCTCTTGGGTTTGCTCCGTCGACTGCTGACCTGTCGCTGTTTCTGCGCACCGACACTTCGCTGCCGCCGTTCTACATCCTCGTCTTCGTCGACGACTTGGTCTTTGCCACTGCTGACACTGAGGCTCTCGCCCTGGTGAAGTCGGAGCTGCAGAAGAGACACACGTGCACAGACCTGGGTGAGCTGCGCAGCTATCTTGGCTTGCAGATCACCCGGGACAGAGCACGCCGCACCATCACACTGACTCAGTCACACATGGTGCAGCAGGTCCTTCAGCGCTTCGGCTTCACCTGGTCCTCAGCACAGGCCACTCCTATGGCTACAGGTCACTCGCTCTCAGCTCCACCTTCGGACGAGTCCGTAGAGCCGAGTGGTCCTTACCCAGAGCTAGTGGGCTGCCTCATGTACCTGATGACCTGCACTCGTCCTGACCTTGCGTACCCTCTTGGCCTTCTGGCTCGCTACGTGGCTCCTGGTCGGCACCGAAAGGTGCACATGGATGCTGCTAAGAGGGCACTACGCTACTTGTGCAGTACATCGGGCATGGGGCTCGTGCTTGGAGGACGGGGTCCAGTTGTCCTCACTGGTCACTCGGACGCCTCTTGGGTTGACGACCAGGCTACGCAGCGGTCGTCACAGGGTTACACCTTCAGCCTTGGTTCTGGTTCAGTTTCCTGGCGTTCTACACGTTCGTCTTCAGTTCTCGGCTCCAGCTGTGAGGCCGAGATCTACGCCACAGCCATGGCTGCACAGGAGCTGCGCTGGCTCACCTACCTGCTGACCGACTTGGGAGAGCGGCCTCGTTCTCCTCCAGTTCTGTTCGTCGACAACAAGGCTGCCATTGCCTTGTGTCAGGAGCACAGACTGGAGCACAGAACGAAGCACATCGCTCTACGTTACTTCCTTGCTCGAGAGCTGCAGCAGCGTGGCCAGCTTCGTCTTGCTTACGTGGCCACTCGGGCCAACACTGCTGATATATTCACCAAGGCGCTTCCGCCTGGTGATCATCAGCGTTTCTGCACTTTGTTAGGACTTGTTCCCACGCTTCCTCACTTGTTGTAGGCTTTGGTTGTACTGTGATCTATATGTATACCTGCATGCTTGCTCTTGTAGGTAGATATCATTGTGCTGTTGTTGTTACACATGTATCTCTGCATGTGAACTGGCCTTGTGGCCTTTTGCTTGTGCTCAGACTACGTGGTGACGTTGTGATCCACCCTGAGCTTGCTTTGCACTTCCTGCCTGGCCTTGTGACCCTCTGTTCTCCCCCTCTTTGCCTATGGGGGTGTGTCAAACATATGTTTATATGTTATAGTTTAGGTAGGCTTTAGTGGGGTACTCACTGTGGGGTACAACCCCTTAGGTTTTCCCTTTGTACCAAAACTCTCGACAGTCCAATCATCCCCCTTGCCTAAGAGCTTAACACTTACTCCAACAATTAGCGTGATTGTCTTGTGAGGGCTACTTCCGGAATCCATGTTTTCACGAGCGCTGTAAGTTTCGTTTTGTTGATGGTGTATCATGTACAGGATTTAAATCTCTAAATGTACAAACAGCGCAGGCTCTACATGTGAAATGGTAGCATAGCCTGAGCAAGATAAGTATTAGGACTTGAAGAGCTAGGTTATACATTGCATGTGCCTTCTATTATTTGAATCTGTGTAACTTTTCCTGGACGGTCATTCGTCAATTTAGCTCGCTGAGTTTGGACTGGACTGGCACCGGCCAGATGGCCAACACCCACGGGAAACCCGAAGCTTTCGTTAGGTCATTGTAACGCTCAATATGACGCTGTGGCGAGAAATTCATACTGTGTGTGCGACCAAAACGCTACTGATGCCCAGTCACAGAAGCGAGTTCCGTCGCACAGGGTATCTGTTGGAGGAAAACGGGGCGCCAGTGCGTCGCGCTAATATTGTAGCGTCGCAGCAGGGCTCAACTCAATTCTGCACGTTCCTTGTGAAGACTGCTGCAGGGACGCCAATGCACCACGTCTTGAAAGCATGTTCACCAAGCGTTGGTCCAGCAGAAGTCGGAGAACCTTTGCTAGTGAAGGCATGTGTGTTCCTTTGCCAGGTGTGTCATTGTGTTCTTCAACCAGCGTAACAGCTTAGGGTCGATTATAGACGAGATAGATTCTTGTTCGAGATCATTACTCTAAATATACAACAGATTACCTTGACTTCATTATTCTAAATCTTCATCATCAACCACTATTTTGGGTTCCCAGTTCCTCCGGCAGACAGACGCACAACTCACCGAGTGAAGCCACGAAATGTTCGTCGATTCAGCGAATCCGACAAGATAACCAACGTCCTTTACCCCTTTACGAGTCGTCGTCGTCGTTGTAACCGTCGCGGGGAGGGAGGGAAGTTGGAGGAAGGGGAGAAGGGTGGGTGGGTTGACGGCGAGACTGATTGAATACTGATGGAAGGGGAACAGGTGAGAGGAGTGGTCCGCCAGAGCAGGCAAACAGGAACAGTGTCCTTACTGGGGCACGTGAGGTTTCGAGGTAAAGTAAAAGGCTAAGACCATAAGGAACCGCAATGAACCGGCCGTCAACGCAGTAGACCCATCGGTACCGCTAGGAACCCACCAGCAAGGCAGTTAACTCACCAGCACCGGTCGCTCGAGTGGGTGGTTCCAGAGGGATGCTCGCTGCAGTTGATGCACCACTTGCATCTGATGGGGAGGAGGAAAGAGAGGAGAGCGGAGAGAGGCAGTGGGGGGAAGAGAGGGGGGGTGTGATTTGAAGATCCAAAATGCGTGCAGTGCATGCAGAACAGCGTTTGGACCAAACCTCTTGAGCATTCGATCAAAGACAGAGATTGGACGACGCGTTCGATCCCAGCCGTCCACTCGCATTGCACCCACTATTTGCTCCTCATCGCCACCCCACCTGCTCCACCACAGCCGCCCACCGCACTACACCCACTGTTACTCCTCCCCACCCCACCTGCTTAACCACAGCCACCACCCTACCATCCCACCACAGCCCCGCATCCCGCCACCCCACCTCTCCACCACAGCCACCCATCCCACAAACCATGCCTCCCCATGCCATGCCCCCACCCCACCTGCTCCATCACAGCCACCTGCAGCTTCCCCTTGGCACGGCAGGCCTTAGGGTTCTGCATGTCCCCTCACAAACCATGCACCCCCCATTGGCCTCATCTCACCTGCTCCATCACAGCCCCCCATCCCACAAACCATGCCTCCCCATGCCATGCCCCCACCCCACCTGCTCCATCACAGCCACCTGCAGCTTCCCCTTGGCACGGCAGGCCTTAGGGTTCTGCATGTCCCCTCACAAACCATGCACCCCCCATTGGCCTCATCTCACCTGCTCCATCACAGCCCCCCATCCCACAAACCATGCCTCCCCATGCCATGCCCCCACCCCACCTGCTCCATCGCGTTTTGAGACGTCTCAAAACTCACCTACTCCATCACAGCCCCCCATCCCACAAACCATGCCTCCCCATGCCATGCCCCCACCCCACCTGCTCCATCACGGCCGCCTGAGGCTTCCCCTTGGCGCGGCGCGTCTTGGGGTTCTGCATTTCCGGGTCTGCTGCAGAGCTGGTGGGGGGAGAACAGACGGTGGAGGAGCAGAGAGGGGAGAAGGGGGGCTGTTGAGGTAATCCATATGCCGTCCGGAGGTTATTGGGGCTCTGTTGAGTCGACTCAAAAGTCAGCTTGGAGGAGCAGAGCGGAGAGAAGGGGGGCTATTGAGGTGATCCATATGCCGTCCTGGGCTCTGCAGGTCGGGATCTGCTAACGACCAAGATGGTGAGCAAAGAGGAGGGAAGTGGGGGGAGGAAGGGGGGAGGAAGGGGTGGGAGGGGGAGGGGGGAGAAGCGCGACGAGGGGGGTTGAGATGGTGTTGGGTTGGAGCGGCGCGCGAGGCTGCACACGATTGAGTTTTTCACAATCAACAGCGGTGGTGAGCGAGAATCCACGTTCGAGGCGCCTCAAAAGTAGACAATCTCCAACCCTCATCCTCTGCGCCACTTCTCCTATCGCGAGCTACAGCAGGCAGCTGGGTACTGGGAAACGCGTCCCTGCAGCTGGGCAAGGCAAGGGCCTTACTCCCCCCCACTCTCCCCCTTTTTTTCCCCCTCCCAGCGGGGCAAGGATCTTCCTCCGACCCTCCTCCCCTGCGCCGCTTCTCCTATCACGAGCTGCAGCAGGCGGCGGGCGGGGTACTTCAACGCGCCGGCCCTGCAGCTGGGGAAGGCAAGGGCCTTATTCTCTCCCTCTCTTCTCCCTCCCGGCTGCAGCAGCGGGGCAAGGGCCTTCCTCTGGCCCGCCTCCTCCGCGGCGCTTCTCCTACCGCGAGCTGCAGCAGGCAGCAGGGTATTTCAATGCGCCCCTGCAGCTGGACAAGGCAAGGGTTCTTACTCTTTCCCTCTCTTACCCTCTCGTCTCCCTCCCTTCATACCCTACCCGTCTAACCCTCTCTTTCCGCAGCGGGGCAAGGGCCTTCCTCCAACCCTCCTCCTCTGCGTCGCTTCTCCTACCGCGAGCTACAGCAGGCAGCGGGGTATTTCAACGCATCCCTGCAGCTGGGAAAGGGCAGCTTTGGAACCGTTTTTCGCGGGCAGGTGGACGAGTGGCTGGGAGAGCTGCCACGTGGCAGCAAGAGAGAGGTGGCGGTGAAGGTGCTTCACACGGAGAGCGTCAAGGCGTTTGACGACTGCCTGGTGAGGGAGGGGACAGAAGGGGAGAGGATGGGATCATGGGCTTGGGGTAAGGAGAGGTGTGGCAGTGAAGGTCCTTCACACTGAGAGCGTCAAGGCGTTTGATGACTGCCTGGTGAGAGGCGAGGGAAGTTGTTAGGAGAGTGAGTTAAACGGGGGTGGAAGAGGTGGGGAGAGGGACGAGGATGGGTTTGAGAAGATGGGAGAGAGGTGGCGGGGCGGTGAAGGTGCTTCACACTTACAGCGTGAAGGCGTTTGACGATTGCCTGGTGAGCCACTGAGAAAGGGGTGAGAAAAGGGACATGGAACGGGGTGAGTAAATAGTAGGGAGGAGTGAGGAACGGGAGAGTTTGTATTTTGTCTGTTTTGCGGGGCAGAAGGGAAAAGAATGGGGAAGGGGGGGAGGGAGAGGGAGGGAAGGGGATGGGCTTGAGGGAATGGGAGAGGTTGCGGTGTGGAGGTGCTTCACACTGACAGCATGAAGGCGTTTGACTATTCCCTGGTGAGAGGCGAGGCCAGGGAAAGGCGAGGCCAGGGAAAGGCGAGGCCAGGGAAAGGCGAGGCCAGGGAAAGGCGAGGCCAGGAAAATGCAAGGCTAGGCAAAGGAGTCATTAAGTCGAATCGTGATCACGTATGAATTATTCTGTTTTGTTCATCTATAATTGCAGCCTCTATCCCCCCACCCACCCACCCACCCACCCACCCACCCTACTGCCCATTTCACGTGTCACCTTGAGTCCCTAAAGACCCCAATCAGGTGCACCTGTTATCCTTAGATTCTGCATGTGACGTGCCAATGCTGCTCTTCTCTCCCCCCATTCCGCGTCCCTCACCCCACAGGCGGAGATCCTTCTCATGCAGGGAAACACTTTTGAGAGGTCTCAAAAGGCAATGCTGCACTTCTCTCCCGCCATCCCACGTCCTTCACCCCACAGGCGGAGATTCTCCTCATGCTGGGAAGCCTTAAACCACCCCAACCAACCTGCTGCGGCTGCTTCTCCTACTCATCCCCACCCCGTTTCGCCTCCCCCTACCATCTGTCCTTCACTACACAGGCGGACATCCTAGTGCTGGGCGATCTGAGACACCCCAACCTGGTGCAGCTGTTGGGGTACTGCATGGAGGACAGCCGTGCTGCGCTCCTCTCCCTCACACCTCCATTTCTCTTCCTTTCCTCCCCAACACGCTTACCCATTCCTCTCCTTCTCCCCCCACCACAGGCGGAGATCCTAGTGCTGGGCGATCTGAGACACCCCAGCCTGGTGCAGCTGCCGGGGTACCGCATGGAAGACAGCCGGGCTACACTCCTTTCCCTCGCATCCCCACCCTTTCATCTCTCCCTCACTGTGCATCTTTCACCCCACAGGCGGAGATCCTAGTGCTGGGCGACCTGAGACACCCCAACCTGGTGCAGCTGCTGGGGTACTGCATGGAGGACAGCCGGGCGATTCTTGTGTATGAGCTGGTGGAGAGAGGGGACCTGCACCACTGGCTACATCCCAACGGTAAGTGAGAGGACGAAGAGGGCGGTGGGTGGGATTGCATGTCTTATAAGACACATGCATGTCTGCACCCCACCTTAAAAAAAAAAAAAAGCAAACAAACTGCAAAAAGCAAAGAGCTTGTGCCAGCCGGGAATCGAACCCGGGTCTGCACCGGGCACATGGCAGGGTGCTATTCTACCTCTTTATTGACACTAGTAAATGTACAATGGATACAAGGCAAATCCAGAGACGTAGTGTATGGAGAGACATGCAGGCTAATCCTATTGTGAGGCCTACAAATAGGCCTCTGTGATGTCTCAATGGTCCTCTCCCAAGTAGGCAAAGTCAGCTGCAGAAAGAGAAGTCACCTCGGGTGGTGCGTGGTTGACGCCCTCGGTAAAACGAATTTGTGCACGACGACAAACAGTGCGAGCCTGCTCCCGTTGATGGACCAGAGAAATCCGTTTGTAGAAGTTGGTCTCAAACAGCTGGGGAAGAGAATCTGTGGCACCACTCAAGTCGCGGAGTTGTGACGCCCCTTTGCGGCTGCATTGGCGAAGGAAGTTGTTGAACGAAGAGCCGAAGCAACCAAAGGTTTCGATGACAAGGGGAAACAGTTTGATGTCTGGACGGTCACGAAGTGCTGCAGCATAGTGGGTGGTCTTCTCACTTTCACGAGTGGCTGCTGCTGAACCAATCACCGTAGCTGCGTTGGAGTGCGGAAACCCCTTTTGTGGATCAGCAACAGAAACATCCAAGGCCCAGGTGGTACCAGAGCTAATATCGCGGCAAGTGATGTCTGTGCGGCGGCCAGGCAGGAGATGCTGGTCTTCCATCTGCGCAGAGAACCCAAGCTCCAAGGCAATGCGATGAACTTCTCGTTTGATTGCGTCGTGCACCTTAGTAGGCTCGTTGTTGCTAGGGCAGCGAAGGACATGAGAATGGATGGAAGGATCGGTGAACGGGGAGTTGCAGGTGCAGGTGAGTGAAGATGAAAGGTGAGGAAGAGGAAGGCCTAAGCGGATAGCTGCTGCAATGCGCCATTCAGTCTCTGAAAGCTGCATGTGCGGGGAGGATGGAGCCACAGTGAGCCAGTCACCTGCATGCGGGCCCTGCAAAGAGGTTAGACGAGCAAGGCGAAGCGGGGACGTTACTGTGGCTCGAACCTTCTCCAGCAAATCGGCTTCGAGGTGTTGGGAGAGATGAGTAAAGAGTTTAGGAGGGTAGCCCGATTGAAGCACAAGCCATGATGGGAAGCGATCACGAATGTCTTGGGGAAGCATGGTCATGGTGGATGAGATTGAAGGGTCGAGGAGGTTAATGGAGTCCGTGGTGACGTAAGGGCGGAAAAGAGGAGCACCATCAGTGATGAAGTGGGTGGATAAGGTCGAAACTGTCTGCGCCCAGCTACAAAGGTAACTGAGGGGGGCGATGGATGCAGAGCTGCGAATGCCGAAGCCACCTAAGCGGATAGGGAGCGAGGCTTGGAGGCGGGCCGATGTGGACTGTTCAGAGGTGGGATTCCAGTACTCAGAGCCCAGGAGCTGAGAGAAGTGGCTGAAAATGGTGCAGTCCCATGAAGAAAGTAGCTCTTGGATTTCGGGAAAAGGTGCGACAGTTCGGAGGAGGAAAGAAGGTCGGGCAGTGATGCATAAGGAAAGGATCCGTGAGGCAATCTGTGGGTCCTGCAGTTGATGCAGTAAGGGGAGGGAGGAAGTGAAAGAATCGAGTTTGTCACGAACTGTAGAGATGATGTAACCGTCGGAGCCGGTAGGAACGCCAGCGACAGTGAGACCGTTTGCAGCGATGGAAATACCCGGGGGTGGAATGCAGTGTTCGGGCAGGTCCATAGGGGCCCATAGAGAGCACTTAGAGGGTTGGACTGTAAGGCCGAGAGAGAGAAGGCGGGAGGTAAGGTCAGTGTATGCGGCAAAGACGTCTGAGGGAGGGCCGACCAAGTAGGTATCGTCTGCGTATGAGGTAATGAAAATTGAGGGAGACTGCTGCTGGGTTGGTTGGATGGCTAGCTGCTGTGTTAGGGCATAAAGGAAAGGGCCACAAGGGTCGCCTTGACGAACACCAGAAGCTGATTGGAATGTGTGGAGAAGGGGGCCGCTGCGGTAGTGGAGAGGTGAAGGGGTGGAGTAGAATAGGCGGAAGAAGGGAATGAGACTGGAGAATGGGGAGCGCCTTAATGCCTCAAACATGGAAACCCGGTTGAACGAGTTGAACGCGTTTGCAACGTCCAGCTGAAGCACCACCCAGTCTGGATGAAGGGAGAAGGCGGAGCACACTGCGTGCGACATAATCTCGATCCCGGCCGGAACTGCTACGCCAAATTGAAGGTGAGGAAGGAATGTCTCTCGCATCTGCTGCTTAAAAAGGAGAGTGATGCAGCGTGAAAGGAGGCGTGGTAGCACTTCCCCAATGGCGATGGGACGTACACCACCATGCGGTTTCTGCAGGGCCACGAGGTTCGAAGCGGTGTAGAAAGGCCTGACTGTGGGCGGAAGGTCACCCTGCAGCCAGTTCTGGAATACGTGGAGGAGAGAAGGGAGATGCTGCTGGTGAGAAAGAAACGTGTCCCTGAGGTGCTCAATGAACCACCCAGAAGGTCCAGCAGCTGTGCCACGGGGGGCGGACTGTAGAGCGGCATGGAGAACAGGGACGGTAAGCTGTGGTGCGGCTGCAGGAGTGAAGGTGTGTACCCAGTCAGGAATCTCTGCTGCAGCAGGTGGGTGCTTGGAGCTGAGGGCAACAACTGTTTCTGATGATGGAGGAGCTAGCTCGCCAGCTTCCAGTGCTGCCAGTGACCGCGACCAATCCCCGCATTTTGCAAACCGCTTCGCACGGTTGAGACGAGCCTGCTGCGCTGTAGAACGTGCTGAAGCCATGTGCAGAGGTCTAGCGGCTGGAGTGGCTGCAGCTACGGCTTCGCTGAAAAGAGAGTGCCAGTCACCAGTGATGAAGCGGCGCGCTAAGGCAGCACATGAAGAGGTAAGGGGCTGTGTGGGAGCAGCGGCAGAAGGTAGGCGCAGTAGGAGACGCGGAAATGCCAAGAGAATGAGGTGTGCAGCGACGTCAGAAGGATGTTGTGCAAGGCGGCGCAGTGGAATGAGAAGTGCATCGAGAATGAGGAGTCGGATGCGGGAGGGGATTCGGCGGAGAATAGGGCCAGGTGAGACTGCCGGGCTGAAGAAGGAAGGCCAATCCCAGGAAGGAACGGCCTCCCAAGTGGCTTGAGGAATTGCAGGTCGATCTGCGGCTGCAGGCGCCGAGGTTGGGGCTGATGAGCGGGGAGGAGGAGGGCGAGCAGCTTGCTGACGTGTGGCGGTGTTGCGAGAGCAGGCTGGAAGGTGACGGGCCAACGAACCTGAGTTGGCAAAGGTGCGTCGACATGTGGGGCAAGAATTAGGAGGTAGTGGGTTATCGGAGGTTGATGAGGGCGGGCAGGGTTGCGGGCATGGCTGCGTAGAGTGAGGGGTAGGGGAAGGAGGAGGGGGATCTCGAGAAGGTGAAGCAACAGTTTCATAGTGTGATAGTGGGTGCGTGTTGTCGGCAGGGGCTGTGGGATTAGGAGCATCTGCTGTAGTCGTCGGTGGAGGTGTTGAGGTAGATGAAGGATGGGCACGGGAAGTCGAGAGCTGAGGGTGAGAGGTTTGAGGCCGTGATGGAGACGGAGAATCAGGAAGGGTGGCTTTAAGGACCTGCTGGAGAATCTCCTTTTGTTTGTCCGAGACAATTTTTGGCGCTGTTGTTGGCTGAGGTTGCTGGGAGGGAGCAGAAGATGATTGAGGCTTAGGAGTAGGGGGTGGTGCAAGGGCTGATGAGGAGGTCGAAAGAATCGCGAAGGCTGGAGTTTGTCGCGAACGGGCAGGCGGACGAGGAGAAGTGGGTTCAGAGTCTTGGGCACCACGACCCCTTTTGCGGCCTGTCATTCTGTAAGGTATCGGGCTGGTGGCATGCAAAATGATGTTGGAGGTAAAGGAAGCATAAGAAATGAGGTGGAAAGTGTAGTCTTTGTTTCAAGGAAGAAGTTGGTGTAGCGAGGAAGGTCACAAAAAGTGGTTGGGGAGAAGCACAAGCGCGGATGTGAGGTTGGCAAAGTGGCGGGAATTTGGGTTGATGGGGGGAGGCGAAAATGCACGTCGGGGGAAGGGGGTTCGCAAATCTGTTGTTCGTGTAGCAGGAGGTAGAAACTGATGACGGCACCGTGCTGTCCACTGCTGCTCAACACAAAGCTCAAGCCGCGCCGTTGCAAGGAAGATTCCACTCTGCGCCGTGCGCTAATTGCCTGCCAGATAAGCACTAGTTTCGTATCAACGTGCGCCAACACCGACACGGTAGATCCACGATTGTAGTTTCGATCGCCTCTCGCGTCAAGGGTGTCGCGGATTGCTAGCAAGTCGTGGCTCAAATGTACGAGTATAAGAGAAGATGCAAGGTTGCTGATTTCGCCCTTTAGCGGAGAGTAGTGAGCTTAGCAGCTTTACTTGAGCGAGCAGCTTAGCGAACTACTACGAGGAGCGTACTAGCGCTTTTTATAGGAGCTGCAGCGAGCTTGAGTGACAACGAAGCAAACTACTACGAGGAGCGTACTAGCGCTTTTTATAGGAGTTGCAGCGAGCTTGAGTGGCTCTAGATCTTGTAAGTGTAGCATGCGTTGCATCTGAGAGACTTTTCAAGGAAGCGAACGTAAGGAATGAACTCAAAGCTGTGACATAGGATGAGACCCAGAGAAGGACTAGATGATCCACAGCGATAAATGCACTTCACAGTCGTCGACTAGGGGGGGTGGAGGGGGGTTTCAACTCAGGTGGCGTGTAGCTGATACTGGGCTTGATGCCATGCCGCATGGTCAGGTAGCATGCTCGGGACATTGTGCCAGGCCGTATGGTGCCAGGCTGCATGGTGCCAGGCTGCATGGTGCCAGGCTGCATGGTGCCAGGCTGCATGGTGCCAGGCTGCATGGTGCCAGGCCGTATGGTGCTGGACCACATGGTACCAGGCTGCATGCATGGTGAAGGTTCGGTGAGGGGTGGATGCGGCCCGCATACACCCGTTCATACAGCGCTGACAGGCCAGTCATGCCGAGGTGAGTGATGCACTCATTGGGACACAATCGGGATGGATGGTGCTGGGCGGCACGGTGCTGGGCAGCATGGTGCTGGGATGCATGGTGCTGGGCGGCATGGTGCTGGGCGGCATGGTGCTGGGCGGCATGGTGCTGGGCGGCATGGTGCTGGGCGGCATGGTGCTGTGATGAATGGTGCTGGGATGAATGGTGCTGGGATGAATGGTGCTGGGATGAATGGTGCTGGGATGATTAGTCAAGGGTTGGTGAACGGCGTATGCGCCCCGTTGATGCCAAGCTGATGCTTTCATTGCGAAAGAACTGGGTTTGTTCAGTCTGTTTCCTTTTTAGCGTGTGACCTGGTATGTTGTGAGCTGGCTCACTGTAGGATGGCAATTTCAAAATAGGGACGTCGTTTCGCTCGAGCAATCAGGTTCTTTTTTCAAGTCTTACAATCTTCTGACTCTTTTATGGTTCATAATTTGGTGGATGCAGGGGATGGAGAGAGATGGAGAGAGATGTATGTAGGTGTCATCAGAACATGGAGGGACATGAACATATCGACTAGTTACGTTCTTCTCGGAGCACTTGGGCATGTTCTGGGGTATGATGTGTTCGTTTCATAGATAGTGGCCAGACAATCAAAACACGAGTGGTAACTGAAACAAGCCAAAAGAAAAAACAACAAAACTTCGGCTTTGCCAGCCGGGAATCGAACCCGAGACTGCGCCGGGCACGTGGCAGGGTGCTATTCTACCTCTTTATTAACAGCATAGTAAATGTACATTGGATACAAGGCAAATCCAAACAACTAGTGTAAGGACAGACATGCAAGTTAGTCCTATAGTGAGGCCTACAAATAGGCCTCTGTGACGTCTCAATGGTCCTCTCCCAAGTAAGCAAAGTCAGCTGCTGATAGAGAAGTCACCTCGGGTGGTGTGTGGTTGACGCAGTTTGTTCCGCCTTCTCCCTTCATCCAGACTGGGACCCACAGATTGCCTCACGGATCCTTTCCTTATGCATCACTGCCCGACCTTCTTTCCTTCTCCAAACTGTCGCACGTTTTCCCGAAATCCAAGAGCTACTCTCTTAATGGGATAGTACCATTTTCAGCCACTTCTCTCAGCTCCTAGGCTCCGAGTACTGGAATCCCACCCCCTGAACAGTCCACATCGGCCCGACCCCAAGCCTCGCTCCCTATCCGCTTGGGTGGCTTCGGCATTCACAGCTCTGCATCCACCGCCCCCCTCAGTTACCTCTGCATCCACCGCCCCCCTCAGTTACCTCTGCATCCACCGCCCCCCTCAGTTACCTCTGCAGCTGGGCGCAGACAGTTTCGACCTTATCCACCCACTTCATCAACACGCTTGATGTTGAATAGTGGCGGCACTGTGCCTTTTTAACCTGTCTTCGCACGGATGCGTGCGTGTGTTGACGCGGAAGCAGTCATCATTCAGTGGCTGTACATTTTTTTTTTTGGTGCCTCAAAATACGCACGCATGGGTGCTTGTGTTGTCACGGATTTATTTTCTTTCTTTTCGGACTTCCCCATGTGTTGTTGTCACAGAAGCACTGATCATTCAGTGCATGTGGGGCCCTTGACGTATTCGCTTGCAGCAAACTCCGACAACCCCCCATACCCCACCATCCTTCCCTCCTTCCCCCCTAGTTGATCCGCCCCACACCAACCATCACCACCCCAGACCTCTACCTCTCACCAGCCCCGCATGTTCAACAACCACCAACCTTCTACCCTCCTTTTCCCTTTCCCACACGCCGCGCCTGGCTTTGGGTGCACTTGGGTGGTGTGTCCACATCCGACCAATTCCTAACTACCTCTCTTCGTCCCCTTCCCCGCCCTCCCCCACCCTTGTCGATCCTCCCCACCACACTCACCACTCCCCCAGACCTCTCTCCTGACAGCCCGTGCCTGACATGGGAGCAGCCCTCGAAAGTGGCAGGTGGGTGCCTGACATGGGAGCGAGGGCTTGCGTTTGGCGTATCCGATGTCAACCAATTTCCCCTTCCTTGTTTCCCCTCCACCACAACTTTCCCTCCAGACCTCTCCCCGGACAGCCCGTTCCTGACGTGGGAGCAGCGTGTGCAGGTGGCAGTGGGCAAATGGCAGTCCAGCATGCAAGAAAACCACCTGTTTCCTCCCTCCCATCGGCCGTCCCTCCAGACCTCTCCCCAGACAGCCCGTGCCTGACATGGGAGCAGCGCGTGCAGGTGGCAGTGGGCATGGCGGAGGGCATGGCATACCTGCACGGGCAGAACATCATCCACCGCGACTTCAAGTCCCACAACGTCATGCTGGACAGTGTAAGTGGGACGTGGGGTCTGTACTCTGTAGTGTAGTGTATGTTCATTTAGAGTAAACCACGCTTGGCAGTGGGCATGGCAGAGGGCATGGCATATCTGCACGGGCAGAACATCATTCACCGTGATTTCAAATCGCACAACGTCATGCTGGACAGGGTAAGTCGGAGGGGAGGTTGCTGGGGAGGGATACTGAGGAATGTGCCCTCTGGTGGTGGTCCTGCTGGCGTATCTCCACGGGCAGAACATCATTCGCCGCGACTTCAAGTTTCATAACGTCATGCTGGACAGGGTAGGTTGCACGGAGGGGGGTCTGCAGGTGTCCATGATGTTGTGGACACGAGTGCTCTTGCATGGACTAGGCATGGCGGAGGGCCTGGCGTACACCCCACAGCCTTCCCCCCCCCCCCCCCTTCCCCTTCCTTTGCTGATATCTGTTTCCGCAGCAGCTTAGAGCCAAGGTGACGTTTTTTGGCATGGCGACGCGGGGACCAGAGGAGGGCAAGACTCCACATGGTTTCTCGAATCCCCCTCTTACCTCCCCCCCGCCTCCCCCTCCCCCTCCCCCTTCTCCTTCCTTCTCCAATTTCTGTTTCCGCAGGAGCTTAGAGCGAAGGTGACGGAGTTCCACATGGCCACGCGGGGACCAGAGGAGGGCAAGACTCAACAATCAATTTAATCAAACCCCCCCTCTAATCCACAACCTACCCAATCCGTGTCACCAGGAGCTGAGAGCCAAGGTGACGGACTTCGGCATGGCTACACAGGGACCGGAGGAGGGCAAGACTCCACATTGGTTTCTCGATTCCCCCCCGTAACCCCCCCCCCCCCCGCCTCCCCCTTCCCCCCCCCTCTCCCCTTTCCTTTTCCGATGTCTATTTCCGCAGGAGCTGAGAGCCAAGGTGACGGATTTTGGCATGGCGACACGGGGACCAGATGAGGGCAAGACGCACGTGTCCACTCGCATCATGGGCACCCTGGGGTACCTCGACCCTGACTATATCGACACAGGTGGGGAGGCTTGTAACGAGGATATGACTTGTGCCTGTTGGGCATGGATGGGAGGAGGGGAGGAGGGCAAGACGCACGTGTCCACTTGCATCATAAGCACCCTGGGGTACCTCGACCCTGACGATATCGACACAGGTGGGGAGGCTTGTAAAGAGTGTGCTGTTCTCACAGGTGGGGAGGCTTGTAACGAATGTGCTGTTCTCACAGGTGGGGAGGCTTGTAACGAGTGTGCTGTTCTCACAGGTGGGGAGGCTTGTAACGAGTGTGCTGTTCTCACAGGTGGGGAGGCTTGTAACGAATGTGCTGTTCTCACAGGTGGGGAGGCTTGTAACGAGTGTGCTGTTCTCACAGGTGGGGAGGCTTGTAACGAATGTGCTGTTCTCACAGGTGGGGAGGCTTGTAACGAGTGTGCTGTTCTCACCGGTGGGGAGGCTTGTAACGAGTGTGCTGTTCTCACAGGTGAGGAGGCTTGTAACGAGTGTGCTGTTCTCACAGGTGAGGAGGCTTGTAACGAGTGTGCTGTTCTCACAGGTGAGGAGGCTTGTAACGAATTTGCTGTTCTCACAGGTGGGGAGGCTTGTAACGAGTGTGCTGTTCTCACCGGTGGGGAGGCTTGTAACGAGTGTGCTGTTCTCACAGGTGAGGAGGCTTGTAACGAGTGTGCTGTTCTCACAGGTGAGGAGGCTTGTAACGAGTGTGCTGTTCTCACAGGTGGGGAGGCTTGTAACGAATTTGCTGTTCTCACAGGTGGGGAGGCTTGTAACGAGTGTGCTGTTCTCACAGGTGGGGAGGCTTGTAACGAGTGTGCTGTTCTCACAGGTGGGGAGGCTTGTAACGAGTGTGCTGCTCTCACAGGTGGGGAGGCTTGTAACGAGTGTGCTGTTCTCACAGGTGGGGAGGCGATGAACACGGATATGACTTGTGCACTGTTTTCTCACCCTCATCCTGTGGGGCGCCACCCCCTCATCCCCCTCCTCTCCACTCTCAGGCCACCTCACCCCGCTGAGCGATGTCTTTTCCTTGAGTGTGGTTCTGCTTGAGCTGCTCACCGGCCGATCCCCCGCCACCACCGCCACCCACAACCGCCTATTCTCCTTCCCCTTCTGGTTTCCCCCTCCCATAACCCCTCTATTGCTCTCCTCCTTCCCCTTCCCCCGTACCACACCCCCTGCCCTCTCACTCTGCGTGCTTTGACCCCCCACCCCTTCCAAAACACCTCACCCCTCTGAGTGATGTCTTCTTCTTGGGTGTGGTTCTGCTCGAGCTGCTCACCCCCTTGTGCGACACCCCCCAGCCCCCACTCGTTCCCACGCTCAGGTCACCTCACCCCGCTGAGCGATGTCTTCTCTTTGGGCGTCGTTCTGCTTGAGCTGCTCACTGGCCGATCCCCTGCCATCACTGCCACCCACAACTGCCTCTTCCCGTTCCCCTTCCCGTTTCCCCCTTCTGTAACCCCTTTCTCCCTACCCTCCTTCCCCTTCCCTCCCACCACACACCCCACCTTCTCTCCCTGCATGTTTCACCCCCCTCCCCCCCTCCAGGCCACCTCACCCCGCTGAGCGATGTCTTCTCTCTGGGCGTGGTTCTCCTGGAACTGCTCACCGGCCGATCCCCCGCCACCACCGCCACCCACAACCGCCTCTTCCCCTGGATCCACAAACAGCTGGCGCGGGGGAGGAAAGGAGGAGGAGACTCAGCATCAGCAGCAGCGGCAGCAGCAGAAGGTAATGACGAGCAGCAGCAGCAGCAGCAGCAGCAGCAGGAGGGGAAGAAGGCGGATGGGTTTCATATAAGTCAGGTTGTGGACCCGCGCTTGAAGGGGCAGTTCTCGGCAAGTGCAGCGAAGAGGCTGCAATGTAGTCAAGAGGAGCCGAGCAAGCGACCTGGCATGAACCGTGTGGTGGAGAGATTGAGGGAGATCGCTGCTGGTGGGGGAGGAGCAAGAGGAGCAGGAGGAGCAGAAGGAGCAGGAGTGCAAGGGGTGGCACGGGGAGGGGTGGCAGTGGCAGGGGTAGGAGTTCAAATGTAGGAAGCAGGCGGTTTTTAGTGAATGTAGCGAAGAGGCTGCTGCTGGTGGCGCTGCAATGTAGTCAAGAGGAGCCGAGCAAGCGACCCGACATGAACCGTGTTGTACAGAGATTGAGGGAGATCGCTGCTTCTGGGGTGGGGAAAGGAGGGGCGCAAAGGGTGGAAGGAGGAGGAGCAGAAGTGCAAGAGATGGCAGGCGGAGGGGCAGTAGTGGCAGGGGTAGGAGTTTAATTGTAGGTAACGGTCAGTTTTCGGCTGGAAGAGGCTGCTGCTGCTGGCGCTGCAGTGCAGCCAGGAGGAGGCGAGAAAGCGACCTGAGATGAGTTGTGTGGTGCAAAGATTAAAGAAGATTGCTGCCGGTGGTTGGGGGGGAGGAAAAGGAGTGGCAGAAAGGTAGGAAGGGAAGAAGCAGGAGGAGGAGGAGTAGGGCAAGGGATGGCAGGGGGAGGGGTGGCAATGCCAGGGGTAGGGAAAAGGGTGGCAGGAGTAGGAGTGTAGGTATAGGAACAATTTTTGGCAGCCTTGTGGAGAGACAGATGAGGTTCAGATGAAGTCAGCGTCAGCGTACCTATGAGGAGGTGGCATGGCGCAGCAGTCACATGGCATGAACCAATCAGCATTGGGCATGTCTAAAGCACACATGCATGGCAGAACCACACATACGGCACGGCAGAACCATCTATACATCATGTCAAACCCTCCCATATGGCCTGCAGCAGCAGCATGATGGCAGGGCAGAGCACCCTTGTGAATCAGGGGGGAAGCAGCACATGATGGCATTGGGGGCAGGGAGCTGGGCCTCATAGGATGGATGGGGAGGTATATAAGGGGGCATGGAACAAACAGCCAGGGGAGGGGAGGTGGGGGGAGTTGGAGAGGGGGAGGTTCCTCAGTGGGTGATAATTCTCTTCAGTGGGTGATGATTCTTTCAGTTAGTGGTACCAGTATTTCCCACTTTTCCGCACCATACTCTGACGCTGCTTTTGTGCCCGCAGATATGGTAGGCCATGGAAGCAGTTGTAGCTTGGAAGAGAACATGCAGCAGAGTGCATGTGTGGAATCATGAATAAGTCTAATTTACAGTTTGGTCCTGTGCATCAGAGCATGAAAGGGGAGTAGGGATCATGTACCGTATTCTCCCGGACATAGCACCCTAGGGTATAGCTAAAAATACAGGGAAAAAATGGGGGGGGTCTCCTCATAGGAAAAAAATACATAATACCCGGGTCTTTCCATATGGTATATTTTAGTGTTAGTGTTTATTTAATTAGACAATGTGGGTGTTTTGATTTTCATTTTAACATTGCTGTCTGAGGCGCGAATGTGGGTTTCGGCCACGAGCTTCATCACCCCCACGAAAATGCCATGTGGCACCTCTCTTGCCACTTGCAGCGGAAGATTCGCCTGCACGTGGTCACAGCGAAGTAGTGCGAGGGGGGGAAATCTCGGTAGATTGTAAGTGAATGTACCGCGAAATTTCATCTAGGGAGAAAATTTCGCGATATTCTTCAATATTGCAGCTACTCGTTAACGACTATTATAACGAATTCGTAAGAAAAGGGGGGTGTTATAGAAAATCAGCAAAAAAGGGGGGTATAGTAGAAACGAGGCTCCCCATAACACCCACCCCGCACAAGCTACCCGGGGGTGTACAATTATGGGGGGGTGTTTTGTCCGGGAGTATACGGTAGGAGTTGAGAGCACAAGCAGCTTGTTGGAAACATATAGTTCGCGCTTCTGATATGTCGAGCACTATAACAAGAACGAAGCAGACTCACAGCGAAGCAACACCGAATCAACCAAGCTGCAGCGAAGCGGTTGACAAGGCGACAACAGCAGGAGGTTGAAGTGAAGGTCAAAGGTCAGCAACCTTTGACTTGACAAAGGCAGCGCGACAGCAAGGACAAATAACTGACTCGCTATGAGCAGTTACCCGAGTCGACGCTGTATCGAACCGCAACAGCAGTTACAACCGCAGTTAGTTAAAAACCTTTCATATTCCTCGTAATCATACCGTCATCACCCGGATATAAGACAGTGTTGAATAGTAGACAGGGGTTGTCTATTATACGGGTGTCTCTTATAAACGGGGTAGCCTCATTATAAGACACCTATTTGTGTGTAGGGGCAAATGGCAAATGTATAACGAGGAAGTATCTTCTAAACGGATTTTTGTCCAGTTATAAGACTGATTTTTTTAATGTATGAGATAAGACATACATGTCTTATATCCGGGCGATGACGGTATAAAGCCCTGTATCTCTTTGCTATCATCAACTTATTTTGTTCTCACACACCAGTGCAAGGTGGTTCAATCAGCCTTCATTAAAGACGCTTCCGCTAATACCGTATTCTCCCGGATATAAGACCCGGGGGACTTTCCTAAAATAGAGGCAAATTGGTTAGGGTGAACATTTAAGGGTTCTAAACCGTAACAAAGTGAGAGCACATGTTGACACAATAAACACACTCACTCGAATCTGTGTGCGTTGGTCGACCTTGCAGGGCACCTGAAGAGGCCCCCCGCTGAGACGGTGCTGAAGTGGATCGCCCAGTCATGGAGCGACGTGCCGGAGCACATCATCGTCAAGGCGTTCCTGACCACCGGCATCAGCAACGCCGTTGACGGCAGCCAGGATCACCTCGACCTGGCGCACATGCGGGATGCTGGCCAGGTCGAGGTGGGAGAGGACGTCCACTCCTCCCCCTTGGTGGATGAGTGGGTCAACCCCCTCTACACCACGACTGCTGACGACGAGGAAGCTGCCCGGGAGGCGGACGACGAGGACTGTGGGGACATGCCCGCGGAGGAGGAGGAGGCGGAGGAGGAGGAGGAGGAAGAGGAGGAGGAGGAGGAGGCCGAGATGGAGGCGGAGGAGGAGGAGGAGGAGATCGAGATCGTAATTTACGATCGTATAAAACGGAATAAAACGAGAATATTGATTAGTCTTTTTTTGGTGAAAAAAAACGATCGTTTTTTACGATCGTAAATTTCGTACCACAATTTACAGTTACGATGATCTCCGGAAAACGCACAACTCGCAGTGAAGGGTTTCACTCTATACACAAGCAACACAAGGGGTTGAGGTAGCGGGAGGATTCATGCTTCTGTTTGTTCCTCGAACCGCAGGTAGTTGACGCACGCATCAATTCGTCATGCTAGGGTTGGTTGCGACGTGAAAAATGTTTCGGCGTTTTTTGGGCCTAACAAAAAAACGACGTTTTTTTCCCAAACTTGACCGTAAAAAACGATCGTTCTTTTCAATCGTTTTTTACCGCAACCGTTTTTTTCCACCTTGGATAGGAGACAGCAGGAGAGAATGGATAGGATACAGCAGGAGAGAATGGATAGGAGACAGCAGGAGAGAATGGATAGGAGACAGCAGGAGAGCACACAAGTATGGATAGGAGACAGCAGGAGAGCACACAAGTATGGATTGGAGACAGCAGGAGAGCACACAAGTATGGATAGGAGACAGCAGGAGAGCACACAAGTATGGATAGGAGACAGCAGGAGAGCACACAAGTATGGATAGGAGACAGCAGGAGAGCACACAAGTATGGATAGGAGACAGCAGGAGAGCACACAAGTATGGATAGGAGACAGCAGGAGAGCACACAAGTATGGATTGGAGACAGCAGGAGAGCACACAAGTATGGATAGGAGACAGCAGGAGAGCACACAAGTATGGATTGGAGACAGCAGGGGAGCACACAAGTATGGATAGGAGACAGCAGGAGAGCACACAAGTATGGATATGAGACAGCAGGAGAGCACACAAGTATGGATAGGAGACAGCGGGAGAGCACACAAGTATGGATAGGAGACAGCAGGAGAGCACACAAGTATGGATAGGAGACAGCAGGAGAGCACACAACTCATGGAACGGCCTGCGAATATGAGGGCATGAAGGGCTCCAATCTGAGCCAAAACCCCCCCAAAAAAGATGGCACTCACAAGTGATTAAGATTTGCAAGGTTCGTAATGGACTCGGGAACGGCGCCAGTCAAGTTGTTGGAGTACAGGTCTCTGTTACGACAACAAATTGTATCCATGCATGGGTCAGGGATCCGAATCAGGCAGAATCAGGTGGCTCTTGTCGTAATGCATGATACAGTAACAGCGGGAAAGAATGGATAGAAGACAGCTGGAGAGCAGGGTCCAAATGGTCACAGCTCATGGCAGCACCTACAGTTCTCAAAGCATCAACAGACCCGAAACCCTGAGTCAAAGCCCAAATGAGCACAGTACTCACAAGTGAAGAAGATTCGGCAGCTTGCCAATGGACTGAGAAAGGGTGCCGGTGAGCATGCTGTACGCCAGGACCCTGAAACAAGACAGCGAGCCAAGGGCAGCATGCATGTGTTGAGAATCAGGACCGGGCAAGAGCAAGCGGCCCAGCCGGAAGTTGCGCGGGCCGTCTATCCAGGTGGCCGATCTGCACTGATCGGCAGTCCAAATGCGCCGAACCTCGCAGGTCGGTGGTTAAAAAACACATGGATTTCGCGCGGATTGCCGAACGAAAACCCCATTGTGCGCAGGGTTTGCGCCGAACTAAACAAACTTCACACGATTTCACGCAAACTGAGAATTCGCCGAGCTGCGTGATTGACAGATTCGCCAACCCAAACCCCTTGAAGTTTCAGGGCGTTATCGAAAACAACACCCTGCAACTCAGGATCTAGTAGGATTGTTTTGGGCCACGAGCAGGCCTGGATCTTCGCAAGAAGGCCCAACGCGGTGCAGGGCCGGTTCGGGTTTGACACATGGAAAAGAAATGTCTGCAGTTCGTTCGTCGCGAGCCAAACCGGGGCTTGAAACCCTGCTTGTCTACCCGATCTCATGGTGTGCATACGTCCAACTCGAGACAAGGCCCAAGAAAGAATGGCACTCACAGGGTATTGAGATTCGCAAGGTTGCTGATAGAGTCGGGAATGGAGCCATTGAAGATGTTGTTCTCCATGTTTCTGATGAAATGACGACAAAGAACATGCATGCAC